TATCCACATACAGCTGGCTGCTGCTTTAGTTCTCCAACTCCATTTCTTTTCTTCAGTGTTTCTCTTTTATCTCCCTGCAGTACAAGTGTGGTCCTTTACTTTCTTAAAGTCCCAGGGAACACAAAACCATGAGGAAGGAAAACTCACATCAGCAGCTTTGAGTTTTTCCTTCCACAGGTCTGTAAGTTAAAGTCAGTCTCAGAATGGAGATTGTAGATTGAATTATTTAGTAAATGTTAGATGTTGTGTCCGTCAACCAAGATCAAGCATGTAGACAGCAAGAGTAAGACTAACCTGCCCCACAAGTTTTAAAAACATCAAGGCTACTGGGAATGTGGCCATATACCATGTCCAGGAATAAGGTGGGCACTGTGAAATGCTTGAAAAAGTGTGAGCAGTATTGCAACGTCTTAAATGCTATGGGGATGGCTCAGCGTATCTTCTGTTCTCTGGAGCAGAACTTCTCTCTTGCCCATAACTCACTGCTCCGTTGTTCTGGCTAGCAATATGAGGTGAGGAGAAAGCAAGCAGGACTCTGCAAGTGTGTCCAGTAGTATCATCCAGGTAGGGAGCAGAATCCTTTTTTTTTTTTTCCCTTGGTGCAACTTAGTAAGCTAGCTGGGTGCAGATCTCTCTTGAGTTTGCTAGCCCCACTGAAGGGAAAAGCTGTTTGGGCACTCAGATTTGCTCTTAGCTGTTGCAATAATCCTGAATGGCTGCATTCCTTGTCCATGACATGACCTGATTCTGGACTGCAGTCTGTTTCCTTTCAAAAATGAACAAATCCATAACAATAGATCATGTATTCATAAGAGCAGGTGGAATTATCAATATTATTCTTTATCTTGGTTATACCCTTGAAGAAAGGGAGTAGTGGTTTATGGCTAGTCCAGTTATCTGGTGTAACAGAGGGAGAAAAAAGCTGAGCTTTTTAGTAAGTGCGAAAGCTGTAGGGAACAACTTAACTTCCTCCTATTCTGCCCTGGGATGGTCATCTACTCTACTCTCGCTTTTGCTTTTGCCTGGCAGTTATAACAGATAGGAGCTTATAAATAAATAAATGACCAGACTTCATACTGGTGGGCTCCTAGCCGTGTATTCAGCTGCTTCCCATTGTCTCACAGTATTGTGCATTGAGAGAGACGGATCCTGAAGTTTCTCCTCTGTCTCCTTAGGGCTGGGCATTGCTTCAGATTCAAGTGCCAAAAAGGTGCTTTTGGTGGCCAGCCCTAGTTTCTCTTGGACTTTATGCCTGAGGAAGAAAAGAGCCTTGAAGATGATTTAATCCAGCATTAGCAGGAGCTTTCATCCATTGTTTTAGGCTAGTTAGTCCCCATAACCTTTGCTGTTTTAATTAAAAATAATACAAGACAAGAAGGGCTCCATTTGTCTTTCAGCAGATGAAGGCGGCTCGCTTTTTTCCCGACTTTGGGGGATGTTATGGGCAGGTTGGTTGTTTTTCTCCAAAGTGGTGGGGAGAGAGGTTCAGAATTCCTTTAAAAATAAGGCTGGGACTTGTATCTAGGTTTGAGGTTTTGTCATCTTCTTCCCAATACTAGACAGTCTCTTTCATGCCCTGGTTGTGGATCAAACTGGATATTTTCTCTTTAGGCGGGAACAGGAAGGGTGAATACTCAGAAATGGGGGGGGGGGCAAGCCATTCTAAGAGTCAGGAAAACTGTCTCTGCAGTCCGGTCCCAAATGCTCATTTTCATACTTCCTACCATCTCTGTTGACTTAGCAAGAGGAAGATGAAGAGATGTTTCTTCTCCCTTGGCATATAATGGCAGGGGAGAGGTATGTTGGTCTACTGGCTTAGAGGCAAGCCAGTCCAAAGGTTCCTGACATTTTGATTGCACTGGTGTGCTAAACCACCTCAGGTCTTTATTCCAGTCCTGAAATTGGGAAGGGGGCAAGCTGCAAAGTTGGGAGGGAGGCTGCCTTCTCACCATGGTTGCTCAGGAATCATTGCATTTTTAGAGTGGAGAGTGAAAATGTAAATACCCATATATGATTGTGAACATATGTTATAGATTGCGGATAGGGAAGCCTGAAACTGTTGCTGAACTAAACCTTCAGCAACTCCAGGTAGTATGATCAACAGTAAGATATGTTAGATGAGAAGTCCAGCATCTAGCAAGGCACAGATATCTATATTAACCGATTGTGGTTTTAAACTTAAGCTCCACCTAATAAGAAATAATATTAAGTGCTAACCAAGATCAGCAAGCATACTTTGTGTTCAACAGTCTCTTCTTTCTTTCATAACAGAGCATGGTTGAAAAATATCCAGATGTAATCTTCATTGAAATTGATGTGGATGATGCTCAGGTAAGTTCTACAGTAGTGCTTCCAAATTTGAACAAAGACAATGCAGTATATTTTCATAAAATTTTGGATTCATATGACTTCTAGTTATATAGGGCTGGTTTGTTAGGGAAACCATGCAAACAGCAGTGAGTTCTGACCAATGAGATAAAAACTGGACTTCCTTACTTAAATATTCCCAGTAAAACTTTTGAAGAAACCCAGCTTTTGGGGGATGAGAGAATTCTTTATTTTTTGTAGCACAACATGAGCTTATCATTGTAGTTTGGCTGCAGAGGAATGTATGTGGAATCAAAAAATGGCTTTAAAGCAGCTGAACAAAAATGTGCAGACTTCAGATAATTTTCTTGGTGAACAGTATTGATGGAGCATAAAGGAACTTTAGTTCTCTTTTTCCATTTTGGTGGTAAAGTACATAGAAACATGGAGGACAACCATCTCTAATAGCATCAGGATCTATAGTACAGATAGGTCACAAATTCTGGAAGGTCACAGGTTCCCTAAGATTCCTAGCATTCAGGCTAGTTGAGACTGCTAAAAGCTGGAGTTCTGTAATATCTGGAAGATACTGTGAAGTTAGTTGCACTTGCTTAGATTCTGTAATCTACAGAAAATACAGATGACCTCTAAACATAGTAACCTGTTCACATGTTGCTCCTAAGCCCTCATCAGGAGTTTTCCAAATATCCAGCTCACACATAAACACAGCACAAAAATTAATGGGGTGGGGCATGGCAAATGGTATGGAAACACAAAGGCAAATCATCGTAAAGTGCAAATGCCAAGCAAGCATGGAATAGAGTCCTGCTAGAAGGCTGGATGTGCCAACTTCACAGGCTTCGCTTGGTGTAATAGTTTCAGAACTGCAGAACAATACAGGTAGTCCCTGACCTATGACCATTCATTCAGCAGCTGTTCAAAGTTACAACAGTGCTGAACGAATGGTGATTACGACTGGTCTTCTGAGTTCTGGCCATCCTAGCACTTCTGCAGTCATGTGAGCACAATCTGGATGCTTGGCAACTGGTTCATACTTACGAGCGGTTGCAGCACCCCACAATCGTATGATCACCATTTGCAACCTTCCCTGCTGCTGCCCCGCAGAGTCAATGGAGAAGCCAGCAGGGAGGGTTGCATGTCACTGGGATAAGTCTCACCCACCCACACACCCTCCCCTAGCTCCTCTGCGCTCACACTGTGCCAGCCACTCGCACACCCTCCCTGATCCTTGCTGCACCTCTTGCACACCCTCCCCACACTGTGCCTCTCACTCACCCTCCCTGACCCTCCCTCACACCCTTGCATGCCTTCCTGACCCTCCCCTGCACCCTTGTGCACCTCCTCACTCCCTCCCCCATCTGGCAACAGCCACTTACCTGCCTGCTGGCTTGGGACTTGCAACTTCCTGCCAGCTTCCCCACTGACGTTGATTGTGGGAAGCCAACAGGAAGTTGCCTTGCCTAACGACAGTGGTATCCAATTAACAACAGCAACCAGGACTACAGGGATTGCCGTCACTAAGCAGTGTGGTTACACTTTATGACCGTATCACTTAGTGGTGGAAATTCCAGTCCCAATTGCCATTGTAAGTCAAGGATTTACCTATATGTTTAAACAGCAGCAGCTTAATAGCAAATCCAACATGTATTTTTGATAGGTTGTTTAAAAAACTTAAAATATGGCTTCTTTCAAACACAAAAATATAGCCCATTTGATTTGATATTATCTGTTCTAACTACCTCAGCTGTCTAGGGGTTCAAACAGAGGCATAGGTGTCATAGATTGAACACTGGACTACTACATGTATTACAAATACATGTAATACAATGTACAGCCACTCCCTTTGAAAGGAATGTCTGGGCGAAATTGTATATATAAGATGGTTTAACCATCTTCCTATATTGTGCAGGTACAAGCCAGAACTTTATGCAGCTTTAATCAAGTTTTGTTGAACGAGTCACCCTGATAGATCTGAACAGCACATGGAGCTATTCTGGATGGGCTCACATACCATACTAAGCCAAAATTAAACATAGTTTAGCAAGTAGGTTTCTTATGTGCATACAGTACATAACTGCATTGGGGACCCTGATCTCGAATCACTAACATATTTTGTTGATTGAATTATGTGTATCTTGTCAAACAAGTTAATTTAGAAATGTGGCATGTGCAACAAATTTTCCCTAGTAAGCAGGGTGCCTTTTTATATAAATCAGTACGACTCATGAAATTCAGTACGACTTGGTTTTGATGTCCTGATAGTTGGGTATTTGGCAGTGATTAAGTTGTGTATAATGAAGTATGGCTTTGGCCTAAGTATAAGAAGAGTGATAATTAAACTTGTTTTACATAGCTTGGAAGCAAGAATGGCCATCAGAAGTAATAAGCTTTTATTATCTTGATGAGTAAATAGGTCCACCTGGACTTAAAATTACACATAATAGTGACTGCAGTTGGCTTTTAACAAAACCTTTGACACACCTAGATGACATTATCTTAATTAGCTGTTGGAGTAGAGAAAGCTGCTTCCACTTCCCTCAAAAGTAGAGGTGGGTGGGAAATGTTGTTAGTTTTAGTAAAATAGAGTGTTCTCACATTTGACACACATTATGTGACAATTTGCAGTTCATTCTCTTGAAATTGCAGCATTCCTTTCACAACAAAGAATGCCTTCAGGTTGCTAGGCATTGTCTATGAAATCTTATTTGGTCAGTGCTATCAGAATAGGTTCACAAGAGTCTAAATCCTATTTTGGTAAGAAGGAATTACTAGAAGATGTGGCCCAAGACTTCACAGGATTCTTGGCATTTTCCAAATAGTAATTCTTAAAACAGCTTGCAGAAAGATATGGCAGGTAAAATAGGAAATTGGAGTGTGTATGGTAAGAGGAATTCTTAGGTTTCCAGAAGCTTACAGGTAGGTGAATGCAGTATTCTCTTAAGGCAGATGGTCAACCTGATGGCCTTCAGAAATCCAGAACTACAATTTCCATGAGTCCCAATCACATGGTCAGTGGTGGAGAATTCTAAGTGTGATATCTGGAAATCACCAGGTTGCTTGTCTCACTAGAGCTTGTTTCACTTTTCTTAGCCACAAAGATACTCAGAGGAAAGTGTGCATCTGAGATTCATCTTGGTACAGATTTTGTCTTTTCAGCCCTGCTTGTGTGAAACGCTGATAATTGCATTTTGCCTCAGTTTGCAGAGTGGGAATAGCTGAATGGGAAGGCATTGTGGGGACAAATGCTGCGCGTGTACCACATCAGACTGATTGGAGTAACCTTTCTCATCTCTTCTAGGATGTGGCCTCACACTGTGATGTGAAGTGCATGCCAACATTCCAGTTCTATAAAAATAATGAAAAGGTATTTCTCTCAGATTTCCAGCAAAATGTGTAGAGCTTGAATATTACTTGTAGAGGGATCCCGGTGCATTCTCACCTTAAGATTTAGTTTGAGAGACACCAGGTGCATGGCTACATCCATCCTGTCCAAGCTTCCATATTTACTGTTGCCCCATGAGCTCCAGATAAGCTTTAAATATGGAGTAAGATGTATATTTTTGTTTAATACTATGTAGCAGCTTTAAACAGTCTTGTGAATAAGGCCATAAAATCCACTGACCTCAGGTTTCTGCAGACAAGATAGAAATGTCTGCTACTATCCTCTTCAGAGACTGTTGCCATCTAGTGGGACCTAGGAAGCATGCCTCTTCCGAAGCGCCCCTGCCCTCTTCTGGAAGACCCTTTCCCCTGGGATCTGGCAGAACATCACCCGCCAAGCCTTCCAGAAAGCTGTAAAGAGGCGGCTTTTCCCCAGGAGTTGGGATAAGGTGAGGTTGGACCCTGGGGATTGTAGCGTTAGGTGGTTTGGAGAATGTTTTTATTGCGAGGTGCCCAGAGTTGTTTCAAATGATGGGTGACCATAAGCCTGTTAAATATATATACTTTAGAAAAACATATTCTGCATGACAAACTGTTTGAGGAAGGAGTATGTTAAGAAGAAGTGTTCACTTCCTCGATGGTCAGTATAGAATCAGTCATCTTAAACGACTGTTTAGCATTCACAATGTCTGTTAACAGAGGAATGAATCTTAAAGCAGAAGGCCTTAAACTTGGAATGTCTGTATTTCAGGTGCATGAATTTTCTGGAGCAAATAAAGAAAAGCTGGAAGAAGCCATTAAGAAGTATAAGTAACCAAAGGTTCTTAATTCATGAAGTGCTGACTGTTAAATTATAGCCTTTTCTACATAACAAACCGATCAAGTTAGAATATGTATTCAAATACACGTTGACCCTTCAGTCTGTAAATGAAGATAATAAAAATATATAAAAGGTTTTGTGTCTTGCTTGAGCTGACAGCGTGCCAACTCAACTTACCCGAGTAGCAGCACTGCCTGCCTCAGAGGGCTTGTGATTGTCTGCCCGTGTGTGAGTGGAGTGTGCACACACCTGGATATGCTGGCACTTTGCTTCACTAGCATCCCTGGTGGAAGACTGGCTTTGAAAGGGGATTACTTGGGTAAAGATGCTGTCTGCTTAGATGGGGTGACCAGAGAAGCAGCTTCAGTTCTGGTTTAGCCAGCTGTCATACTTTCATATCATAAAAGCAAATGCAGCTTCCTTAGCATGTATCATATCACACCCTATATTATCTTTTGTGTATTCTTAGTTGGGTTAGAACTGGGCACCAATGGCTTTTTAAATTATTCTGTCAAAACTATGGACAGGGAAGTTCAGAGGACAAATCTCCAGGGGATGGAGAAGTTTTCTAGTGACTTACCCCCTGTAGCAATGACAGTAGCTCTGCAACCAAGAAAGTCCAACAGAACATGTTCTTTCCTGATATCTCACTTTAGGGCTTTAATTGAAACCCAAGAGGCTGTGGACTTCTGGAAAGATTATTGTGAAATAAAAATCAGTGCATTCCTACAAACTCTTTGGCCCTTTGTAACTAAAGAAGGGCAGAAATATTCCATCTATGGAACTTTTTCAGTGTCCTCCAAAAACATTTCTAAAAAAACATCTATGATAGAAGGGCTGGGGGGTGGGGGGATTTTCTGCCCAGCCCTAGTTTTAAAGTCATTAGCTTATAATTTAGGGTTTAAAAAAACACTAAGCAAATTAATTGACATTTAGGGAAAATACCAGAACATCCAGCTTAAAAATAAGGATCACCAGTGGCAGTTGTATCCCTTTCATCAATATTCTTACCGAAATGTACTTTGTTTCAAAATATTAAGAACAGTGGGTAGGAACGAGAGTTTGAGCAATCTCATTTGGAGCAATAATAGAAGTGAATTAGCCTGGAAGAAAACAGGTGCATCGGACTGGATCAGATGCGCTTCAAAGTGAGTTTGTGTACTTGTTGCTGAGCATGTTGACTGAACTAACCCTAACCGTCTGTGGTTTGAAAACCCATAATTTATGACATCTCTCTATCTTCCTTTATGAGGATGATGCTGTCATTCTATCCCTATCAAGTGCTGGCCTTAGTTGGACTATTACTGCCTTAGTCCAACACTATAATGAGGTGGCTGAAGGCTAATTACCAAAAAACTAAGGTAAATGTTTTCAAGAAAGCCTAAAAACTTTAGTCAGACCATTAATGGCCATAAGGTAGAACGAGTTAAAATGTATAAATATTTTGGGGTTATATGTCAAGTCAATGGCAGAGGAGGTCCTCATGCTGATTATGTTGCCAACGTGGCCCAAAGAACTGCTGCAGCAATCTTACAAGATCATTGCGCATAGATGTCTAGCAGGCAAAGGTTTTATCACACCTATTATTTTGAGCAGCTCTTGGTCCATGTCCTAACTTCATTCTGTTGGAATCTGTTCAATCCAAATTCCTTAGCTCTATGTTTGGTGTTTCCAAATGCATCTCAAATGCAGCTTTTAGGCTAGAATCAGAGTAGAGGCAAAAGTTTGGCTAGTAATCTTTCATTATTGGCTTAAACTGCTCTACTCAGTGATACTGTCCCATCCACTTGGAAGAAGTTGCTTAAGCAGAAGCTCCTCATATGGCATTTCTCAAACACTTGATGCAACCTTGCTTGGTCTCCAACTAAAAATCTGATTGCCCAATTATTCGAAATTGCGCTGCAGTATAATTTGAAATGCCCAGTTTTTATAGTTATCAAAGAAGCATGGCTGCCTATGTTTATTCCCTGACCCACTCAAACTACAGTTGGGCATTTACTCATTGTAACACTCTTCCTTCTGCACTGTTCCAGAATAGGCACCGCAAACTCTCCATGGGTCATTGTCTCTGCCCTTATGGCACCCAAGAGTTGGAATCAATAATACAGTAGTCCTCGGATTACATCCATTCGTTCAGCAACTGTTCAAAGTTATGGTGCTGAAAAAATGGACTTAGGACCAATCTGCAGTGGCCCCACTTACACTTACAACTGCTTATGGTCACACTTAACAACCGCTGCAGCGGCCCCACAGTCACATGATCAAAATTCAGGCACTAGGCAACTGACCCACATTTATGATTGTTGAAGTGTCCCGCAGTCACGTTCTGCCCTGTGTTAACTGCCTCCGCTTCAACTCCCCCCACCCATCTATATTCCCCTCCTCCCATCTCTGCTCTTTTGGCTGCTTTGCCCAGCATGGTCAAGATGAAGAGGCCACTGCATTCCACCACTGCCACTTAATGTTTTGCTTAACACCGCTTCACTTAGTGATGGAAATTCCAGTCACAATTAGGGTCGTAACCCAAGGACTACCTGTATTGCCAGTTTTATACAACATTGTGCCAAAATCTTATCCTTCCCCTTCTAGTAGAAATCCCCAGTTAGACCATTTCTGTGTTGATTTTCTGCTTGCTCAAAAGACTTTTTCTACAACCCACCATGTTGCAAAGTTTTGTTATCTAGCAGCAAGGCTTCAGCAGGGCATCCATAGTAAGACTGAAGATGGATTACTGTAGATGTATGTTTTATCTGTTTTTATTCTTTTTCCTTTCTGTTGTTTGCTTGCTAAAGCTGTACTGTAATAAATACAAGTGATTGATTACAGTGTGACATGTTATTTGTCAACCAACACTAGTTCACCCAACCATCCATAATATATATGAATACTGTCCCTGCGTGTGGAAACTCTAGGTGGCAGAGAAAGGGCTCTGTGCTTCAGCTTTTCGGGCGACCTCTTTTACTCAGACTGGATTAACCTATTGAGGGGCTGACTATGGCAAATCTTCTAAGGGTGTCTGTTTCTTTTGTCCCTAGAGTCCACAGATAACCCTGTTTTTCTCAAATTTTGGCCACACATGAGGCATGCTGGATAATGGAAGTAGGTTGGCATAATCTTGGATAGTTGTTGACAAGAAGGCAAGTCAGTCCATAAGGAAGTGCAGATACAGGAATTTATTGACCTGGGGTTTTCAAAGACAGAACCAAGTACCTATTACACCTTTACTATTGCCTTTCCAATGTTGTCTCCTTTGAGCATTCCCATAAATGCGGCTGGCATGTTTTCAAAACCTTCAGTGATGTGCTCACAGTACTTAATTTTCCCCTATATGAAAAGTGAAACATTTAAAAGTATGCAATTCTCCCCGTGACTTAAAATCTAAGAATACAGTTCTAATTAAAATAGCAAAGGATGAGACAAAAAGGAAGCATTACATATATGTTTTAGAGATATACCCACACCCACATTACATTACATTGCATAAAGATCTATCCTTGAATATATTCAAGAATAAAAATAATCTAATCATTCTCATTCAGCCCCACCCAACTCAAAGGGGTAAAATAGGGAGATAATTCTCATGGCATCCAACCTTGGGCTCCCAAGGAAAAGGTGGGATATTGAGGTCTTCTGTCTCTGGATTACACACACACACACACACACACACACACACACACACACACACACACACACACACACACACACACACACACACACACACAGAAACAAATTACAGCCTTTTGTACGGTCAGCTTACCTCTTGAACCCATGTCAATAGTACTTTCAGCCCTTCAGCTTTCCTATCATCCCAACGTGTGACTAAAAAACCTTCCATGCGCAGCTGTTTCAAGAGCATAGGGAGCTGGACATAAGGCCCTAGAAGAGAGTTCAGAGAAGGAAAAGTTAGGACAATTTGGATCAAGGCTTCATGCCAGATAGCTACAAAACCGATGCCACTCCTGGTGCTGTTATCCAAAGCTGCATCTGTTGTGATTCCTAGTTTCCTGCAAAATCCTGTCTGTTTGAAAAAAGGGAGCAGTATTTTCTCAACTATGGTCAACATAACACTTCTGCAGAATTTTTGCGAGTAAAATTTTATTGATAACCTCCCCAATTAAACCATGAAAATGGATGTGTCTCTTTCCAAATTCAACTTAGTGTGCAAATAAAGCATCCATCAGAGCTACCCACCTGCCTTTGGACTGTTTTGTGACCCAAGGATGCTTCTGAACTAGGCCTGGGCCGTACAAATGCAGCCACTTATGGCTTATGCTGCAAATCGGTATGTCTAAATCTTGACAACTTTAAGATGTGTGGACTTCAACTCCCAGAATTCCCTAGCCAGCATGCTGAGTGGGGAATTCTGGGAGTTGAAGTCCACACATCTTAAAGTTGCCAAGGTTGAGAAACACTGCTGTAAATTGAGGTCAAGCAAACACCAGCTTTGGGCTGTATGAGAATCATTTCAATATTGCTCTGAACTAGCCCACTGTGGCTCAGTCACATTTTATCAACTAGCTGTATGATTTTGCTATTTTCCTACCTGCACTGGCTCTTTGTTTCATCCCTGTAAAGACATGACCTGCTGTGCCATTTCTGTATAGCAGGTGGCAGCGTTTCGATGTGAACAGCGACATCTCACGCATCTGCTTCACAGCACAGCTTCACTCTCACCTTTTCTCACCCTCATACTTCATCAGCATTTTGAAACTGATCTATTCATGGTCTCTTTTGAACCCACACAGCCACACATGCAGTATATTTACACTCTTAGACTTAAGTGGGTCTTTCAGTGAGACTTCCACCACATTAAAAATTGGACTGAACAAAAAATAACATGGTGGGGAAGGCGATGAACTAAGAGCAGGAAGACCTAAGTTCTAATCCACCCTCAGCTGCAGAGCCAGTTTGGTCTAGTGGTTAGGGCATCAGACTCAAAAGCAGGAGACGGTGAGCTCTAGTCCTGCCTTGGGCATGAAAGCGGGCTGGGTGACTTTGGGCCAGTCGCTCTCTCTCAGCCCACCCCACCTTGCAGGGTTGCTGTGGGGAAAAGTTGGAAGTGGGAATGTTGTGTTTGCTGCCTTGAGCTCCTGAAGGAAAGAAAGGACATGACTCTGACAAATAACAAAAAGCCATGTTTTCTACCCAGCATCTTATCTCTCTAGGTCAGTGTTGTCCAAACTTGGCCACTTTAAGATGAGTGGACTTTGACTCCCAGAATTCCCTGCTGGCTGGGGAATTCTGGGAGTCGAAGTCCACT